CGCGATGTTTCTCCTCCTTTCCTTTAATCTGCCGCTGACTTCATTTTTAAAGTTGTGAGAGGTAACTTTAAAGTAAGATATTTCTTGTTTAGCTGTTAAAGGTGAGTTTGTCAGCAGAGCACTACACAAGTAGACTTAGCAGGACACCATCTTGGATCCTCTCCCCAATGGGGGCTAAGATCAGGGATTCCTTTAAGATTGGCTCAACATCATCAGCCAATGCTTCTTCATCAAACAAGCGGGATAGTGCGTCGGCTTTGACATTTTTGGATCCGGGAATGTAAGTGACCTTGAAATCGAAACGTGTGAAGAATAAGGCCCACCTTGCTTGTCTTGGGTTTAATCTTTTGCATGACCGGATGTACTCAAGGTTCTTGTGGTCTGTAATGACAGTGAATGGGTGTTTGGCGCCCTCTAGCCAATGTCTCCACTCCTCTAATGCTGCTTTCATGGCTAAAAGCTCACGGTTGCCAACGTTGTAGTTTCTCTCAGCTGGATTGAGTTTGCGAGAGTAAAATGCACAAGGATGGAGTTTATTGATTGCCTGGGATCTCTGAGAGAGGATAGCCCCGATACCAGTGTTGGAGGCATCAATTTCTACCACAAATGGTTGATTGGGATCAGGATGACACAGGATGTGTGCGGTTGAGAAACGAGACTTGAGCTGGTTGAATGAACGGGTGGCTTCCTGACTCCATTTCAGGCGGGCATTATTGGCTTTCACCATGGCTGTGAGGGGAGCGGCTACAGTACTGAAGTTTCTGATGAACCTTTGATAGACGTTAGCAAAGCCGAGGAAACGTTGGAGTTGCCGGATGGTTTCGGGTTTGGGCCAATAAGTGACCGAATCGACCATCTGTTGATCCATGGCAACGCCCTCGGGACTGATTATGTAACCCAGAAATGATATACAGGTCTGATGTAACTCACACTTGGATGCTTTGGCATACAACTGGTTTTGGATCAGGCGCTTTAGGACTGCTCTGACATGTTGGATGTGCTCAGGTAAGGAATTGGAGTAGATTAGTATGTCGTCAATGTAAAGGATGACCCACTGATTAAGCATGTCTCTGAAAATCTCATTTATAAAGGCTTGGAACACGGAAGGACTGTTTGCTAGGCCGAAGAGCATAACTAAGTATTCATAGTGGCCATTTACAGTTGAGAACCCAGTCTTCCATTCGTCGCCCTGCCTGATGCGAACAAGGTTGTAAGCACTGCAGAGGTCCAATTTGGTGAAATACTGTACTGAGCGTAACTGTTCGAGGGCTGCTGGAACTAATGGCAAAGGGTAGCGGTACTTGACAGTGATTTCGTTAAGTCCTCGGTAATCAATGCACGTGCGCAGGCTCCCATCCCAAGAAGAAGCCAGCTGAAGCGGGTGATGTGGATGGTCGAATAAAGCCCTTCTCCAACTCCTAAGAGATGTAAGTATTCATGGCTTCGGTTTCTGGCTGGGAGAGGGGAAAGATCCTTCCGCGAGGGGGCGTTGTACCTGGTAGCAACTCAATAGCACAATCGTACTCACGATGAGGAGGGAGTTTAGTGGCTTTCTGCTTGTTAAAGGCTTCAATGAGATCTTGGTAGACTTCGGGGATTTGACTCAAATCAGGATCGTCAGAATAGGCAGAGATAGTGTTAATCTGAACAGGGGTGACAGATTGGAGACAATGGTTAAGGCAATTAGTACTCCATTTCACAATCTCACCAGTACTCCAGGAGATTTGGGGATCATGAGTCTGTAGCCAGGGTAACCCGAGGATAATGGTGTGCTGAGGAGAGTTAATCACGAGGAAGGAGAGTTCTTCTTCATAGAGAGAGTCTGTTTGAAGAGAGAGTGGCAGAGTTCGGAATTTAATGTTTCCTTCCCCCAGGGGGCGTCCGTCTATAGCAATGATAGCTTGGGAAGAATCACAGGTGGTTAGAGGAACGGAGTGGATTGTGGCAAACGTGTTATCAATAAAATTGCCAGCGGCTCCTGAATCAACTATAGCTAGTCGGGATCTGTACATCACCATATTGTAGACAAACGGGTACCCTCAGAATGTTATTGGAAGTAGCGAACAAAGTGGCTGCACTTACCGGTAAGGTCTTGGGTAGAGGTTTTTTGGGACACAGCAACTTTGTATGACCCAAAAGACCGCAATACAGGCATAAGTGATTTCTCAGTCTTCTTTCACGTTCCTCAGGGGTTAATCGGGCTCTGCCCAGTTGCATGGTTTCAGTGGAGCTCTCAGGGGATACAGGACAGGGAGAAACAGAACATAGGGGTTTTCTAGTTCAGATTAAGTTATCCAACCTGATTGATAGCTTGATGATTTGGTCCAGGGATTTTCCCTCATCACGGCATGCCATCTCAGTCTGCAGTTTGAGGTTTAGAGCCTTTATATAGAGAGTCTTCAGAGGATCGTCAGCCCAGCCAGTCAGCGCAGCTAGTGTGCGAAAACGTAGAGCGAATTCGGCTGCAGGTTGATTTTTCTGTTGGACACATAAAAGCTCCTCACCAGCATTACGACCTCCTTCAGGATGGTCGAATACTATGAAAAAACGTTTGAGAAAGTCATTAAATGAGGGAAAAATTGGGGTGTTGTCTGGCCAAACAGCAGAAGCCCAGTCTAAAGCCTTTCCCGTGAGAAGGGAACACACAAAAGCAATTTTACTCTTTTCATCATTAAACAGATGGGGCTGTTGAGCGATAAACAGTTTACACTGTAGTAAAAAGCCTTTGCATTTAGCTGGGTTACCTGAGAATTTTCGGGAAATGCCAAACGAACACCGGAAAACATTGGATCGGTGTAACGGGGTGTTGACTTGGAGAGTAAGTGGCGGTGAGTTGCGCTGTGGAAGCAACTTGCAGATTTTGCATTGATCTTGCCAATTCATCGGTGAGCTGGGTTAACTGAGACAACTGTTGCTGATGTGTAGTTAGTACCTGAGCTTGAGCTGTGATTTCTTGGGACAAGACCTGCATGGCTGTGGGATCCATGTTGGGCGAAGTCTTCTGTAACGAGGAGACTGACACGGAGGGATCCATTTTGCAGTATTTAATAGACACAGTTCAATCACAAACATACAACATGCACTAAAGTGCGAACTCACATCCAGCATTCAATGTTCACGAACAGCATTCAATATAGATCGTGGGGCTGGTGGCTGACAGACACAGAGTGATTTACCAGGCATAGATCAGTGGCAGGCGGCGTGGTTCAGAGTCCGTATAACAAGCGTGGGTCGAGGGCAGGCAGAAGGCAACTCAGAGTCAGAAACAGTCTGGGGTAATGCACAGAAGATCAGGCAAGAATAACGCTCAGAAATGTTGGCCGTGGCTGAACAAGACTTCGCAATGAACTGGTGTTTGAGTGTGGCTTATATAGGGAGCGTGGGTCATTACTGGGATTCAGTTCAGGTGTGTGCACAATCAGTATAGATGGATGATGTAATGCTTAAAAGTCTGGGGATGGCGGCCTCTGCTGGCCAGCGAGGGGAATGACTGGGCCCGAGTCGGTGACATGTATATTATAAAAATAAATACTTGGTTACAATACAGGTGCTGTTCTGTTTAAAATTCCTATGTGGTAACTGAGTTTATTAGGTTAACTAGTATTGAGTTATTTTGTCTGATAGTTAAATATATTTTTAAAAAACTGCAAACAAAAAAAATATATAAACTTATTTTTTTCTCAGATTCTTTCTTAAAACTCATAGTCACATACCTGTCTGATGGCTCATTATGCAGCTCATTATGCAGGTCTTTGTCTTCTCAGGTGTGTCTCACTGCATAGTAATGATAGTTCACGCCTTCTCGCATAAACCAATTTCACACAGAAAGTGACATAGAAATTTTAATTCATTATATTGTTTTCTGTGAGCAAGTGAACAAGATGATTCTCACATCATTTTGAAGCAAAAACACTAGGCTACAAGATCCAGTTCTCAAAAGTCTTGTGCACAAATGTTATCTGTGTGTTTCACAGCCTTGTTTCAGTGGCTTCAAAATTTCAGTTTTTCACTAACCACGCATAAACGTTTCTTTCTTAAAAACACAAACACATACAAACATTCTGCTTAGGTATTACTGTAGCCCAGCTTGTGCTGTTTACAGTGTTATCACACTTTAGCCATTTATATGTTTTTAAGATACTGAAAACAACACAAATGTCAGTGCATGTCAAAACTTCTCCAGAGCACCAAAACACCCTCAGACCCCAGAGGGTTAACTTTGATCTGGGAACTTTTAACAATGCTGGACTTAAATATCTAGCAGGTATGATGGAGCAGGTGGAAAACAGTCCGGATAAATAAGATGGTGCCGGACCATATAACACCTTAAATACAAAAAATAAAATTAATAAATTTAGAAAAAAAATTGTAAAACAAATAAACAAACTCCACCAGGCAACCAGTGCAGGGGGTAATGTGCTCAAAGTTACGAGCGCCAGTAGGAAATCTAGCAGCTGTGTTTTGCTCTACCTGTAGGAGATTTATATAATTGACCAATAGAGAATAAAATAGGGGCAAAAATAGAACCATGGGGAATCCCACAAGTTATACATGCTTCAGAGGATAAACATCTATTAACATCAATATGTGCAAACATGCAAATAATCTATTTATCCAGTAGCACATTTCAAACACTCACACAGTTTTTTTTTTACATTTGTTAATTTAAGCTAATTTACTTTTACTCTCCCTCTAAATTTTTTGCCACTCTACAATAAAATCATACACAAAAGGAACTATGTACTTACTTTTTGCAGAATTATGCATTTAAAAACAGTGCCAAAAAAGTTTCTTACGAACAATTGAGTAAAAAAAAAATATATATATATATATATAAATATATATATATATATATAGAGAGAGAGAATTTAGGAATTAAAAGAGCTGATCAGAAAGATGCAGAAAAATGTTGTACTGGGTAATGGAAAATCATTAGAGCTTAATGTCGCTTATGCCAACACAAATAGAGGAGAAGCAAAAGAAGAAAGAGAAGCACTCACCCCCCTGCTTACTTCTGTCAAGATATATTGAGACCCGTCGAGCTAAACCTGTGAGAGGAGAAGAGGAAGAAATGGGTACAACAGAGGAAAGAGATCATGAAGGATGGTCAGCCAAAGGACACCACAGTGTTAGCATAACACACAACTGTGACCCTACCCCAAATGATGATTTTTGATTTTTACCTTAATTTGACAGCCCTCAGAATACTTTGGTGACAAATGTATTGCCATATTATATATTAAAATAAATAAAAATGTATAATATAATATAATATAATATAATATAATATAATATAATATACAGTTTAAGTCAGAATTATTAGCCCCCCTTTGAATTTTTTTTCTTTTTTAAATATTTCCCAAATTATGTTTAGCCGAGCAAGGAGATTTTTACAGTATATCTGATAATATTTTTTCTTCCAGACAAAGTCTTTTTTTTTGTAATATTTTGACTAGAGTATTAATATTTTTTTATGAACCATTTTAAGTTCAAAATTATTAGCCCCTTTAAGCCATATATATTTTCAATAGTCTAGAGCACAAACCATCGTTATACATCAATAGTCTACAGAACAAACCATCGTTATACAATAACTTGCCTAATTACCCCTTAATTACCTAATTCCTTATTAACGTAGTTAAGCCTAGTTTTATATATATATATATATATATTGCCTACTTTAAACAAATTATTAATGAGCCTATCATTAACTGTGTGTGTGTGTGTGTTTGTGTGTGTGATCATGGTTTTTAAATATCGCACATGTAATGTTTTTGAACTGCTTTTGTTTGCTTACAGTTATTTTTGTTAAAGGGGTGGTCCAGAATGTAATTTTAAGGCTTGGTTGTGTTAATAAGATGCAAAGCAATGTGTGCTCATGTTTCACTTGAAGGAAATTGGATTTCATATATCTCACTTTGATTATACACAGCTACTCAGCTAACATGAAAACGACTGTCATATTTCCTAGTTCCTCTGAAAAGCCCGGCCTCAAGCGACTCTGATTGGTCATCATCATAATTTGCTGTGATTCGCCGATCGGCTCCACGTCACGCCCGGACAAGCACGTGCATTTTGTGTAAACAGTCTGTCAGTCAACACGTGTCTGTAACGAGTGAAAATGGGATGCGGCTCCTTTAAAAGTGTTTCTGTGCCATTTAGTGTGTTTATGTGTGTGCGTGTGTATATCATTTAGTATCTGTAACACAAGAAGCGCATGTTCGCGAAAGAAATATTATTGTTCTTTTTCTCTTATGCTCGGATTAAGTTATTTTCTGTGGTGACAGAATAAATCACAAGATCTGAGATGAGACCTGTGTGTGCCTGGATTGATTTGTTTTTGCTGTTACACTCCAGCTGGGAGAGCATTGGCAATTGCTGTATTTTTTTTAAATCAACGCGTTACAGGACGTCTTTCACGCATATCCGGAATATGCCTGTGTAAGTAACATGAATCGTTCACATATCTTTTGCAGCTTTATTGTATGAGTTGTAAAACGCATGGAAAAGCTGCCTGAAGACAATCAGTGCAGTCGTGCACACACATAAGAGACACACTGCTGTCTCACACAGAGATGCACATGCTGGCCAAGAGTGCGTGTATCTGTGTGTGTGTGTTTACAACCGTTTGATAAATATGGATTTGTAGCTAAATCGTTTGCGGTGAACATAATTTCCCATTGTTTACATCTTTGTTACAACATACCGTTAACACTGTACATGTCATGATCTTTGTGGAGATTTTAGACGAATCCAGCACTGATTCTGGAAGCTGCGTTTTGTCAAATCATGCTTGCCATGTATTTTATAATTCTCTGGAACATAATTAATATTGAACTGAAAGCACTTCTGTGCTTGTGTCGTGTCATTTGGAAGCCCAACAAAAGAAACAGAGAAGCTCTGTGGAAACAGCAGGATGGCATTTCTCCCTCTGCAGTAACGTTGCAGCACCTCTGGCCACGGCCTTTACCAGCGCAGTGTGGGATGCGAAATAATGAACTTTTGTGATCTCACAGGGGGCGGAAGTATTTTTTGTAGTCCAATTTCTCTTCAATTTCTCGACTTTGTGCAGTTCATTGTAAGCTTTGCTAAGCTAACTCTGTAAAAATTAAGGTCTCCTTTTGCATTGAACTTTGAGCATTTTACATTCAGAGATACTGTTTATGTTCACACAGCTACATTACAAATCAACTACAGTTTAAAATATGATATCGCAGTGGACCACCCCTTTAATATAGTTTAATTCTCACCCTTTACAACAGCAATGCTTTAATAGGAGATTAACTCTCCATTTGTGTATAGCTAACTGGTGATCAGGAACCTTTAGCCTGGACATATGTTTTAAAACATGACAATATAGACATTTTTCTTGGCTGCTGGATGGAGGGCACCATAGCAACCAGTGTCTTCCGGTAGAATGCTTAGAACCTCCGGTAATTTAAAAATAGGTAACTTGCACTACGAAAATGGGGGTCAATAGCGTTTTGAGTGGATTACGGAGTGTTTTTGTGACACATAACTTTGAAAAGTGTGTGTTAAAGCAGTTATAATCTGTCAGATGTAGTTCACTAATCACGAGCCATTTAGGTTTCATTTAGTTTGTTGTACTTACCATGGTCTGAGTTTTTCAGTCATTTTAAAATGATACTTTATTTTCACTTTGTGACAGTTATTAAATCAGTGTGTTAATAGGAAAGTACAGTGGGCTATATGTGAGTGTCAAACATTTTAGTAAATTACATGTGTTTGGGCTGGTTATATGTTTGAAAGAAAGAGAAAATGTTGACTTTAGTGATGACGAGGCTACATTTAAAATGCAGAAGATGCCGCCTGACAACGAGAGGAAAATGCCTTATAGCAGCTGTTTTCCATCCTATTAGATCACATTTTTTAAATAATCAGTCCAGGAGGTAGCGCTGTATTACAGTATTAGTTTAAAGATGTTAAAAGCAGGTAAAATAGATTAAATCCATTGTTTCAAAGCTGTGCAAATGTGTCTGTTTAAACGCATCAGCTGTCGACCGGAAGTTTTGCTGCTCAACAAGCAATGTTGAGCAAAGTCATACACAACACATAAACAAAAACTTTATATAAATAAATTTTAGCATGGGGCACAGTGGCTCAGTAGTTAGCACTGTTGCCTCACAGCAAGAGGGTAACTTTACCCTTCGTTTGTGTGAATGCGAGAGTGTATGGGTGTTTTCCAGTACTTGGATTTTCCCGAAGCCTACCATTATAATTTTGAAAGCTGCCTGAGCACCACACAATTTTTTTTTGTGAGAATTCAATTGCTGAGCCACATTAAATGGGAAGAACAACACGAGTTAAATAATTATTAGTGTGTGTTTGTTGAATCATTTGAGCTTGTTGAATCATGTGCAAGTGATAGGAACATTTAAAATGATTACAGCAAAACAAACTTCAAAGAAGATTTTTCATAAAGATAGTCCCTCATTAAAAGTGTTTTCTGAGGTTTAATTTAAGAGAGCCACTATCATTAACTGCATGGTCCCACCCAGAGATGGGAAGTAATCGAGTCCAAGTACTTTGTTACTGTATTTACGTAGATTAGTACTTTACTTCAATATTTTTTTTTCTGACGACTTTTTAATTTTACTCATAACATTTTTACACAATCTGTAAAGTATCTGTACTTTCTACTCCTTAAATTTTTAAACCAGGCTTGTTACTTTCATTTGAATGACTTCGGCTGTGCAATTTATATCAGGGGTTTTCAAAGGGTGTGTGGGGGGAGCAGCACCTAATAAGGGGGGGCACGAGACATTGAGGCGTGCACTCGGGTAAATTATGATGATGATATTTATGGTTTCACTAGAGGGAATAATAATAATAGTAGAGTAATGTATTCTAGTAAAATATATACAAAATAAAGTGTTACTAATAGTTAAAGGAAGTGGTCAGTAATAGTTATTTATAATTTCGTGAAGTGCTTTTTGAATGTTGCGTCACCAGGCTATTCTTGTTTCCTGCAGTATTATGTAATTTTGAATTTCATCTTCAATTTCTCGACTTTAACTGCAGTTTGGCATTTAAACTTTCATTCATGAACACTTCATTCATGCCCCTGTGATAAACCCGGGGTATTTGATGTGAATATAAAGGGCTGGTGGAAAAGTGTTACTTTTATTGATATGGACATGTTGAGTGGAAAGAAAAAAAAACTTCCGAATTTCGTGATGTGTGTGTATGTGTGTTTGTGCGGTCCTTTACTGACAGCCGTGTGTGTGGATCTTGTCACAAAATGCCAACCCAAGCTCATTCTGGAAACGTAGCCCCGCGGACGTTTCTGGAGGCCGCAATTTACGTGGCCGGAGGTACGTATGGCCGTGTTTAGTTTATTTCGAGCGAACGCTGCGGGGCGGTGTGGCCCCGCTCTGCTCCTCCTCTTCGCGCTTGCCGGCCAACGGCTTGCCTCTGAGTGGAGGTCTTTTCCGACCCAACCAATTTGTCTGCTTAGCTTGCAGCGTTACGTCGACGGAGCGGAGGCTTGGAGGAGGAGGAGCCGGCCGCGGGGACGACCGGGATCGAGTACGGGGAACAGCAGTTCCAGAAATCAGGTAAGATGAAAAACAGAATCCAAAAAATAAGGGCGAGAACGCGGCGAGATCCGAAAACGCAGTCGAAATCAAAGACGAGGGCTTTTGCTTTTTTTTTTTCTGGACGGCTTTTGCATCCATCGCTTGGGTTTAGGGAAGGAGGAGGAAGAGGAGGGTGGCCGGGTCGGCCGATCGCCCGGTGGATCGTTCGGTCGGTCGTTCAGCCAGCCAGTCGGACGGTTGCTCCACAGCGGCCTCCGGCGGCTTTTCATGCGAGAACAGCGCAGGTGCGAACGGCGCACGCTCCTGAGAGGTGCTCGAGACGCGAAAAAGCGGCCTCTCGCGGATCCGTGAAAACAAAAACTGCTCGAATACGCACCTCCCGTGACGCATTTTGCGGTACGCAAAAACGTCCTACGTTTCCACAATGAGCCTTAGTTGCAAAATGCGGGGAAAAGTACTACATGATGGAAATAGTTTGATTGAGGTCTTTTCTTCAATAATGCCACTGTTTGAACGTCTTTCTGATTCAGTTTTTTTCCATTTTGCAGCTTTTTCAACTTATGTTAATCAAGCACCTTATGTAAGCTAATTTGAGATGACTAATGTGGATGAAACAGAGGGAGTTGGTGATGTAAACCTGACTGAAGCTGCTTTGTCACCGGGTAATAAGATGCATTCAAATCATCATCCAACCATGGTTTATTGTACAAGCTTTTATACAGTTTTAAGGTACAATTATGTGCTTTTTTGACAACATTGTACAGTTAGTAGCCTACTAAAAATCTAATAAATTATAAAAACTTTAAGCAAAATTTATTTCCAATGAGTTCCTATTTTCAAATACAGAATTTATACTGTTTTAACATGTATACACTGTTGTCTTAATTTAAATTCATATAACAAATATATTATAACTTTAAAAATAATTATATGGGTGATTTATGAATAAAATAATCCAAAGGCTCTAGAATTTATCAAGTAAAAACTGCAAAAAGTATTGGAGAATGTAATTGCATGCGTATGTGGCTTTTTTGTGTGTGTGCGGATAGAATGCATGTATTAACAACATTAATAATATATTATTGAAATAAAATATACACAAAGCTCTGCAAAACAAACACAGAAAACATAGGATATTCATGAGAGCATTGAAGATAATAAAGCAGCTTTAGCCTGAAACATGTTTTAGACTAAATTAGGTGTTAAATTGAAGACATTTATTATTTGTTTACATATAGGCCTACAGGTCTTTTTATAGTGTATGAACATGAATAGCAGCTGATTTTGTTGATCTAAAAGCAGCAATGATGATACAAAGGGTAATGTTTTGAGCTGTGCTGTTGGTCAATATTGTAGAGCGATGTTGCTTGACTACATTCCTGCCAAAAATTTGCAACAGCATTTTTTTTACATAAAAATTAGAAACACAAATCATTTTGTATAAATGTATCAATATGATGTGATGTCTGGTTATCATTGAGAAACCAAAACAGGAAGCTGTAGTGGATACTGTCTACTTAAGTACATGTTTGAGGTCATACTTTAATTTTTAAGTAAAGGATGTGTGTACTGCCATCTCACCCCTGAGTCTTAGCATGTGGAATTACCTTAATGATTGGCTCTTCATAGCCAAATACAATCATGGCCATAAACAAATGCATGCTGCCCTTGTTTGTCTGTAAACATGTAGATGGGCAAGCTGCAGCCAAGTTATTCCATAACTTCTTGGGAATTATGACAGAAAGCCACCATATCAGGGAAGGGTTCTATAACAGCGGACCAGTCTTCAGTACATGGATGAGAGAACAGAAGTGGTGGCACATACACTGGAGCCAAAGAATGTTTTATTTTTCTTACAGTAACTATTGTTACTTATGGGAGGCCATCGTGTTCTTTTTCTGCAGAGGCATAAATCAGCAGACAATTCATTTGGTGCTCCTCCAGTTTGATACCTGTGTGTCAACTAGGTCTAGAACTAGACGAAGCTTGTATGTCTTATGTGTTTGCTTGGTTAAGCATGTACATAGTTTGGGTAGCAAAGTTTAAAACATTTTCCAAAACTTTATGCATTGTCAAATGAACAATTTGAAAAGACACATCTCTGGTAACTCAATGTAAACATGGCTTCTTGAGAGAAGAGAATAATGCTTAAGTCTTGTGTAAAAACCTCTCAGAGTACTTGTCGTATTGTACTAATTAAAAGGGAAAAAAGGCTACCTTGGACTCGCAAACCTACGAAAGTGCCATTGGCTATTGTGGCAAATACATGCTTCAAGGCTTAAGTAATTTCAGAGAAAGAGATTACCTTAATGCATAAGCTAATACACAGTGTATCTCAAAACTTTTTTGCTAGCTACCTACAAATAACAAGTATTTATAAAGAAAGTTGTATTACATTATACATTTTGTTTACACACAGTAGGTATTCAGCTTCATCATTAGATTGTGTGAGGTGCTCCCTTTGCTACAATAATCCTGTTGTGAATGATGCACCACATGGTTTGATTTTTTTACACTGTGAGCATGTTTGCGAACTGAGAGAATACATTTTGAGAACATTTTTCTTATGTGCACACTGGAACCAGACATGATCATAATTGGTTTAAAAAATAAATAAAAAATCCTGTAGTGGGAGCTTTACATAAGGTTAGGACAATAGCTACACCTATACAATATTGTCCAGCACAAACAACTGTGAAATAAACAAAATAGGATATTAAATAATAACAATAATAATAATAATAAACAAATTATATAAAACAATTTTAAGAGGTACTAAAAAAACTACAAATAAATTTCTACAAAAACAAATAAAGAAAAAAATAATAAAATAAAAAAGCAAACCTCGTGTGGTGGGCAGCATGTCAGACAAGCCTTGCCATGCTGTGACCATCTCTGGATTTCTCTGGTCAGCAAAGTTCTTCCAAATTCGCAATGCTCCATCATCTGCAAAAATTGTTGCATGATACAAATCACCATAGGATGGGAAGCAATAAATGTTTGTGTCAACATGGCTGGCAGCTGAACTAACCTGTGGCAGTGAGGAGAAGAGAGCAGTCATGCCCATTAAGGTACTCCATGGCTGTGATGCGCGTGTACCGTGGGTTGCCATTATAAAAATAATCCAACCTCTCTCCTTTTTCCCAGTCCCAAAAACTGTTCCAAATACACACAGTTTTAATGCAGTTGACAATTCCTACCTATATAAATCTACATTATAACATGTTGCAAAATACACACAATGACGCATCTCATTGAACACAAGAACACATTGAGCTCTATTTTAACAATCTAGGTGCAAAGCGCAAAAGTATTAAGGTCTTGTCCGAATCCACTTTTGCTATTTTGAGGATGGAAAAATACAGTTTGCTGCCCGGCGCATGGTCTAACAGGGTTGGTGTTTTGAGCATAACGTGCATGAAACCAGTCAGAGTCTCATCTCACATTCCCTTTAAGAGTCAGTAGTGGCAAATTTGCTATTTACATGGCAGACTTTGTAAATGAAAAAACTAAATGCTTCACTAGCGAGAAAACAGTTAAACAGGCCATCTTAAGCGTAAAGATTTGTTTCAAAACTAATTTTAAATTTACTTCTAATTTCCAGCTTTTAAATGAAAAATAAATACGAAATGTGGTAAACATATATACCAAAACAAAAGTTATATCTAAACACACATCCTATTATTATGTCCCATATAGTGATGCATACATCTCCAAAACCCAACAGGTGGACAAAGATAAGAGTTGCGTTGGTCTGAAATTAGCAACAAATCGCATCATGCATGTTTTCCGACTGGTGTATGATAGGGCCCATTGGCTAGCCAAAATAATGGCTGGTCAAGACTGCTAACTTTTTTGTTTGTTTTTATAAATAAATACCTACAGTGTGTTTTCCCAAACAGAAGCTTAATTATTTTAGATTTTTTGCAACAAACAATAAATGCGATACATAATATATTTGATTCACTGTAACTGTGGTGGGACAGGTTAAGGCTGGAATACACTACACGGTTTTACCTAGATTTTCCATCAAACCAAATCAGTGCTACTTGATGAAAACTAGAGCCAGTCTGCAGACTTCAGCTGACAGATTTTATTCAAAAACATTCAGTGCATGAATGGTACCATGGTTGTTAACAAAGGCTATACATTATTGCTTTACATTGATAAGTGAAGAAGTAGACCAATTAAAATGTCAGTAGCTGTGAATGATGAACTGTATCACAATTAATGCCAAATGCTCTTTTTACCTCTAACAGCTACTGTAATCTATAGAAACCACACTGATCTTGTCTTCCCAAGACTATTTCCAGTATAAAGCACCATGTAACAATGTTTTTGGTTATGCAGAGTCACTACAATAGCAACTGTGCTAATCTCCTGCACAGCATATGTTTCCTAGTAATGAGGTGAGTGTTTCTGAATAAGATTGTTGTAATAAAAATTACATGAATGTGGGCTTGTGGAGTGTATAATGAGTAATGTATTAAAACATATTCTGATTTTAAAGCGCATGTAAAGTTTTCAAGCCTTTACACAGTGCCACTTCTACAATTTCTACTGTTATTATGGCTGTACGCTTGCTCTTATGGCTCTTTCAAATAGGTATGATTATATGTAAATGAATGCAGCTGTGAGTGTTGCAGTTACTAACCAAATTGAGTCTTTGTCAGCTACAGCAATGCAGGGGTTAAATGGATGAAACTTTACCACTGATGGCACTCCTGGGTTTCTGTTGATGAAGATCTGGTCATCTAACCTTGTCACTCCTAAACCAAAAAAGGGATAAGTTAGATTATTATTATTATTTTTTAAATCATGCATAATTAGTGAAATGGTTGTCTTAACCTAAGAACATCTGACATAGAGGGTAGGCTGAACTTTCAACAAGACTAAATCATATCACCCTGCTTTCGGCATCAGAAAAGAGGATGGCAGAGAGGGTGATCAAAGGAGAAAAACATGCTCTGCTCTGATGCAATTTGGCTGTGCACTTGTTTTACAAAAAGGCAAATGGAGATAAAATGGGCAGGTAAACAGACAAACAAAAGTTCTGGCTTGTTCAAATAAAAACTACATCTTATAACTGTTTTGTCCAGTGACACTTTTGAACTCCAAATCACAATTACCTTGAAGCACATAATATATATATATATATATATATATATATATATATATATATATATATATATATATATATATATATATATTCAGAGCATCTCTGCTAAGGGTTTACCATATACTTACAACAGATCAAAAACTCATAATAATGACTTGTAATGTACTTTTCCCACAATAATCACCCGCAACTCAGTGGGCTGAGTGGAACGAGCTGCCAATTACTGCTGCACAGCCCCTCTCTTTTTTTTTTTTTTTTTTTTTTACCAGTGATGGAAATAACGGTGCTGTAAATAAATGGCGTTATTAACAGCGTTACTTT